GTCAGTTTGGACCCTGAGGTATCCGTCAGTTTAGGCCCTACGTTGGGCCACAGATGTTGCTTAGATTCTAACAGCTCCTAGGGAGGTGGGGAAGTGGGGGGGGGGGTGAGAAGGTGCAGCGTCAATGTCACAGATACCAGTAGTCTATTGAAAGCAAATAATGAACTCATTTATTCAACAACAGGAAAGGCCTTATATACCCTCCTCCCAGCACCCAGTCTGTGTGGACTTCCCTCATTGGCTGGGCATGATCAGGAACTCTGACAGCGACTGTTGCTAGGCCCTCAGGCAGACTCTAGGTTGGCTCTTAAGGAGTACGTTATGTGCATGCCTTGGTTACTGGTCTGAGCCAATTTCCTCGATCCTATGGGCCTGTCCTACTACATATGTATAGTGTGTATATATGTATGTATGTATGTATAGATGTATGTATGTATACATATCTGTATAGACATTTATTAGGCTAACAGGATGCATTCTGATAGTGTAGCAATGGCTGTCTCATACTGGTAAGTTGGGGAAGCTGATAGCTGGTCATTCTGTGAGGCAGGTTGTGTCTTTATGCTTCAAGTCATCTGATAAAAAGCCCTCACAGGAGCACCCAGCAGCTTATATTTTTGCTGGTTCCATATGCAGTCAAGTTGACAGCCAAAATTAGCCATCACATGCTCAGATCTGACTTTCAAATTACTGTGTAGTAGATGCAGGGCCAATGTGCAATCTCTATTTTATAAGCAGTGCCAACTGCCAAAATCATGCAGACCGACTCTAGTTGCTGAGTGTCTGTGATATGCCAACTGCCGGCCTACCATTACAGAGATATAATACAGAACCTATTCTAACCTTCAAAGAGTTTATACTGCACTATGTAAGGAATTCTTACATTTTAAAATGATGGGCTGTGATTGGATTCATTAAGAAGAAAATACAACCATGTAGCCATGTTTACACTTTTCCAAAGAGAACGTATGAACTACTAAGATAATGTTAAGTCTCTTCTTATACTATGTATATCCATAATCATACTATATTTTACTTTCATGTTTTAACCCAGTATTATTTAGTTTTACCTTATATATTATTTGGTTTTAGGTCCTTAGGCTATCTAATCTCAGGTTCATGGTCACCCAAGCAGTGTCAGATATGGAGTCCATCTCAAGAAGTGGACCTCAAGTCAGATCAGTTATTGGTTGGTGACTCCCACAGGCTTTGTGCCACCATTGCCCATGTATCTTGCAGACAGGACACCATTGTAGATAAAGGGTTTGTGGCTAGCTTGGCACTTACATTTCCCTTTTGGGAGTGTGCAGAATTCTTTCCCGTACCAAAGATGCTGGGATGTAGGGGCGGGGGCTTCATGTAGGCACATGCCTGACATCTCCAAGTTCAATGAATTGTGTAAGTGGTGTTTTCAACAATAGGGCCTCACTGTCAGTTTGTGGAGAGCAACTTTATAGTCTTGGCAACAGCCTGGGTTGTTTGAGAAATCCTGTGGGGCTCCTTTGGCCAACAACTCAATTAGGTACAACCCAATTCCATGACTGCAAGCTTTGAAGAGATAGCCAGTTGGGACTCTATCCGTGCCCCACCCCCATTATTTGGCAATTTCATTTAGGTTACTTTCATATTATATATATTATGTATTTATATAATGTATAATGTATGTATGTATATATAATGTAAAATATATGTATTTATATAATGCTTTCATATTATATATTATATATTAGGAAGTTTCTACTATATTAAGTTTCCATACTTCCCCTCAAATGCACCCCAATTTTAACTGTCTCTCCCTGCATTCCTCCCATAGCCCCTTCTCCCTGCCCCTACTTGTTCCTTCCATTACAGTCCCCACCCATCCATCCATAATTATTATATATTCTATTTTCCTTCCCTAATGAGATCTATCTGTTCTCTCTGCTTCCTTACTCTATACCTACCCTCTGTGGTTCTATGGGTTGTAGTTTAGTTATAATTGGCTTAACAGCTAATACTGAAATATAAACAAATGCATATTTGTCTTTCTAGGTCTAGGATACTTCACTCAGGATGATTTTTCTGTAGTTCTATCTATTTGCCTACAACGTCTATAATGTCATTTTTTTAACAGCTGAGTAATTCTACTGTGTAAATGTACCACATTTTCTTTATCCATTCTTTTGTTGAGGGACATCTCAATTGTTTCCAATTTCTGGCTTTTATGAATAGAGCAGCAATGAACATGGTTGAGCAAGTGTCTCTGAGGTAGGATGAAGCATCCTTTGGGATATGCCCAAGAATGGTATAGCTGGATCTTGGGGTAGATTGATTCCCATCTTCCTGAGGATCTGCCACATTGATTTCCATGGTAGCTGTACAAGTTTTCAGGCCTACCAGCAATGGAGGATTGTTTCCCTTGCTCCACATCCTCCCCAGCATAATCTACCACTTGTTTTGTTGATCTTGGCCATTCTGACATGTGTAGGATAAAACCTCAAAGTAGTTTTTATTTGCATTTCCCTGATGGCTAAGGATGTTAAGGATTTCTTTAAGTATTTCTCAGCCATTTGCATTTCCTCTGTTGAGAATTCCCTGTTTAAATCTGTGTCCCATTTTTTAATTGGGTAATTTGTTTTCTTGATATCCATTTTACTTTCTTAATTTACAAATCTTGATGTTCTTCCCAGCCTTCTCGTCTCCATGAAAAGTTTCTTTTTGCCTTGTTAAAAAGGCTTGTCTTCGCCTGGCTGTTTAAAACACCTGTGTTGTGTCCTCCGCTGTCTCTTCTTCTTGGAGACCACCAGCCCAGAGGCACTGTGAACTCGACTACCTTCTGTGGCTGCTGTACAGAGCTTGTGCTAACATTTCTTTCAATTAATTTCTAACTACCTCCCTTGTGTCCGTGAGTCTGAACACACTGCCTCTCATTTCCCAGGTCCCTTCCTGGCTTGCCCAACTGTTTCCTAAAGCAGTATTTTCCTGTGGGAAGAATGTTGGCAGATTCCTTGACTGTTGGAAAATATCCTCATTTTGATATTCATTAGCTATGATATCATACAGTTTTGTTGTATCTCCCACAAATTCAGGATTTCTGATTGTCTCCCTTCTTTATTGCTATTGCTACCATTACTATTTGTACTTAGTGCCACTGTAATTTGAGGAAGGGGTGGGGTGGGGGCTATGTGCAGTCCTCAGTCTTCAGCTAGAGGTCAACTTCTCCCTTTCTTGAAAACTCTGTATTTCAGATCAACCTTTCAGTGTTGTTCCTTTGTTCCATTCTTAGAATTTGACACCATTTTAATACATATAAATGAGCCACCAGATGGTATTGTGGATATCTCTAAACTTATTCATAAATTCTTAGGTTCATATAGGTTTTGTGAAGTCCTATGATAATATTCTTTCTTGCAAAATATTCAATTAAAAGAGGAAAGTTTTCCCAGTTTAAAAAAACAAAACAAAAACCTAGGCTATCATTCTTTTTAATTCTAGTAAAATAAATCACCCCAAATCTCATGTATCTCTAAAGTTTTAAGTTTTAGCTTCCCAACTTTTTCTGAGAAAACAAGTGTTTCTGGTTTGTTGACCCATTTTTATGTCCTATATATTATATAATTTATTGTATTTATATCCGTTTGATAAACATTATATTAGATATATTTCATGTTCATCTCTCAAGGACATTCTTTTAAATGTTGGTGATATTTCTGTATTTTCTTCAGATTTGCTAGACACATCTAATTATACAAGTGTACAGTGTCTCCATTTTAGAAAAACTAATAACCTTTTAATACAACAGAAGTTAGATCTCTTTCCACTCTGTGATAAGGGATGATTTTTCTATCCTGCACCACATGTTTCTGTGGTTGAAATTTCCAAGCAAACTCTGCTTTCTCAAAGGAACATTACTGAAACTTTGGCCTCTGGTATTAAATTTTCTCCAGACATCAAGAGTCCACTGCACAGAGGTAGCATCAATCTCCTCTCCTGAGACAAGATGTTCCCATTACTTACCAAGATAACCAGTTCCCGGATTTTGCTGACAAGATCCTTTCTCAAATGTTCAGCCCAAAGAAGTTGGCAAGAACTCCCTTCAGGGAAGAGGACAGCCAGGGTAGAGTCCTCCCTTACTGATGCTCAGAGCATGAATCATTTCAACCCCAGTGGTGACAGACACGGAAGTCACTCCATGGTGTGTGGTTGGGTGTCAGTAAGATATGAGGACTGTTTTCCTATAAACAGGAACTTTTTTTATTTGTCCATATACCCCATAAAAAAGACAACAGCCTCTTAGCCCTATGCTTCGATTTTATGTTTGAAGTATTACTTTTGAGGCTTTATTTATTGTTGCAGACACCCGGTCATTTGCATATAATGAAGTACTCAAACCGGGGACACATTGCAAAACCATGCATGAGCAGTCTGCATCGACTTGAAGTGTAATTACCCACCTGATGTCTACAAGAGAAAAGTGAACAGCTTACGTTGAAAACGGAGTTTTAATCAAAGTCTTTAAAACAAGTAAGTGTACTTTTCTCTCACCCCTTCATATTTTAAAAACACTTCTGGAGTTGTTTGTTGTATTTAAACAACTGTTTTTTAGAAGATTTAATCAATGAATGCCTAGATATTTGGTCTTGAACTCTACCAAGAAGTTATGTGTGTTAGATTTCCATGGCATACTGAAATATCTAAGGCATATAGTTCTATATAGAGTAAAGGATTATTTGAACCACAGCTGGGGGAGTTCAAGCACATGTTGTTAGTATAGGTGAACAGTGGTGGGCAATCAAATGCCATCTCAGATTAAAAGGCAGCAGGTAGGGCCAAGTTTGTTCCTTTTAATAAAATTCTCTCACAAGAATTTCATGATTCTGGGTTTGGAGATTTAGCTCAGTGGTAGAGCGTTTGCCTAGCAAGCACAAGGCCCTGGGTTCGGTCCTCAGCTCTGAAAAAAAAAAAAAAAAAAAGAATTTCATGATTCTACTTCAATCCCTTGGTGACATAAAGAGCTACCTCTAGGTCACACCTCTCAAAGGTTTCAGGACTTTCCTAGTGATCACCATAGCCTAGGATCACTAGGGACCTTTAGGAACATTCAGACAACCCTCATACCGTGACACTATGTAAGTTCACCTCTGTGTACCTCAGTTTCTCATTCTTTCTTTCTTTCTTTTTTTTTTTTTTAAAAAGATTTATTTATTTATAGTGTATACAGCATATATGCCTGCAGGCCAGCAGAGGGCACCAGATCTCATTACAGATGGTTGTGAGCCACCATGTGGTTGCTGGGAATTGAACTCAGGATCTCTGGAAGAGCAGTCAGTGCTCTTAACCTCTGAGCCACCTCTCCAGCCCCAGTTTCTCATTCTACAAAGACAGGGTGGCCCTTCATGACTTCATGTCTACTCCATCTCAGAAACACAACTGATTCCAGAATCTCTGTTGTGTTGTCAAATTCCTGATCTGTGTTAGCCATGGACACGGCATCTGGTAATGATGATTGCAGAAACTAAAGCTATTGATCCCTGCAACTCAAGCAGCTTGTTTCTCTGGATTCCTGCCTTCCTCAGAGCCATGGACTGCTAGCAATGGTCCAGTAATGAGATGTGTCCCTCACCTGACAGTCTTTGACTGAGCACTCACTGGCCACTCCCAGCAGTGGCCAACTGTGAACCCAAAATGGAAATGTTTCCATCTCCTTCTCTGACACTTTCTGCCCTGTAACTACCATAAACTGTAAGCAGATGATAGACTGATGGATGTAGTGATGTCCTTTGCAGGTCCCCTGTGATGCCTATTCTTGGTTGTCAACTTTACTATACCTGAAATGAACTACAATCCAGAAATAGAGGGTACACCTGTGAGAGATACTCTGCTTGGTTTAAAGTGGGTGAATCCACATCCAGTCTGGATCTTTGAGGTAGGAAGACACACCTCTGTCCAGATATTGAGGTGAGAAGACATATCTTTAATCTGGGCCACACCTTCTGCTGGTAGCCTATATAAGGACATGGCAGAAGAAACGTTTTGTCCTTCACCTGCTTGTCCTCTCCTTGCTAGACATCCATTCCTTCACTGGCACTGGAGCCTACTTCTTCAAGATTCCAGCATATACAGAAGACCAGCTGAGATACCCAGCCTTGTGGGACTGGGCAACTACTAGATTCTTAGACTTTCCATTCGCGGCTAGCCATTATTGGATTAGTTGGACTTGTGGCCTGTAAGTCATTCTAATAAGTTTCCATATATATAAGAGATTCATTCCATAAGCTCTGTGACTCTAGAGAACCCTGACTAATACTTCCCCTACCCCCAAAATGCATGCATTGTCAGAGGTCACCCTCTGCCTTGTCTGCCTGGCCTTTTCATTGACCTTACAAGTTGGGTAAATGAACTAAGACTAACTTGGGTGAGGGCATCAGGCATTCCTGGGCCTAAACATGTATGCTCTGGAGTTCCGCATTAAGAACTTGAATACTGTGTAATTAAAATATGACCATAAATTCATACAAACTGGTTGACGTTCCCAAAGGAGGTAAATGTCGTCCTTGCTGATAATCAAAGAATGATAGATGGTGTGTGTGAATATGTGGGAAAATAAGCTTGTGATTTTCCAGGACAACATTGAAGTTGACAAGATGAAAAAAATTCGTTTCCCTCAAAGGGATACTGTTTCTGGCCTCTTTTGGCAATGTTGATAGAATGTGACAGTTTTATATAAGGTTGTGATTTGGTTCAAACATAGCAATTTTAGATTATCCTCTTCCCTCTTTCAGGGTAAAGACGTGAGCAAGGTGCCATTGATCTGTCACGCATCCCACTGAAAATGTCTGAGTTAATGAAGTGTTCAGGCTCAAAGAGATTTGGAAGTTGAACGGCACATTAAGGATCTCTGTATTTATTTTATTTATTTTTGAACCTGACAGCACTAGAGACCAGGTATTTCATTGTCAGATAAAAATTACTGCCAAGATTCTCTTTATTTTCTGGAGGAGTCACTGGTCCTGTGCTTTTGTTTCAAAATAGCTTACAGAGCAGCAGGTTTCTGTATGAGGTTTTCACACATATTTCCTCTCAGTTGATTTTTCCTTGCCATACCGCCTCATCTCTTTACCCTGCTTTCCTCCACTGGACCCTTTTCATTCCTACCGTTCCCTCTTCCCACTGGATTCTGTTGTCTTCCTCATCCTCCTTCCTCTCTTAAAGCCTCCTTGTTTCCAGTCTCCTTGGCCCCTTTCCAGCATCATGGTCTTTGCCCACTTTTCTTCCCACCTGGATATACATATTTAACGGTTAGAAGCAACGATCTGCATTTGAGAGAGAAAACCTAGAGTAACAAGCAGTATTTCCAAATTTAAAAAAAAAATAAAGTCACACACACAAAAAAAACAGACAAGCAGTTAGCAATAATGTCAGCACATTTTGGGGGTTATAATATTCCAACAGAAGAAATTATCATCTAGACTAAGGATTGGAAACTGAAGCCATGGACCAAATCTGGTCATGCTCATTCACCTGTGAATTACCTCTTTCCTTGCTATAGTAGCAGAACTAGTTACCATGGAGACCATGAGTCATACAGCCTAAGCAATGAGTGAACCAACCTTTTCCAGGAAAAGTTGACTTAGCTCTGATCTAAACCAGGGGTCCTTAACCGTGGCTGCTGCTGAGCCTTCCGAGTGTAAGTGGCACACCAATCCATTCACAGAGCAGAAATAACTAAATTGTCATTGCTTTCCCCAATAGTAAATCTGTCCCCAACCTTTTCTTCTGACTAAGAACCATTTTTGCAGCTATAATTTTCAGCACATGTTGGATCAGGCCAGGTAGGCGTGCTCATATAGAACTTTGAAGATGTTGGAGACAGGGATGCCCCTGAGGCCACAGCCCAGTGTTGGTCCTTTAGCTAGAACATAGGCTGCGGAGATAGTAGTTTCCTCACTCCTGTACCACAGCCATGGCAACATTTCTTGGGCTCTGCTGTTGGGGTGGCTTGCTGATCTCCTCCTTTGCTCGTGAGAGAGGAGACAATCAGGGTCTAGAAGCATACTGGGAGTGAGTCATGCCATGTCTGCCCTGAACCTGATCCTTTACCCTGTTAGTGATTTGTGAGTGCTTGTCCTTTTATTCAAAAACCTCAAGTTTTTTTAATCTCTCTGCACACATGCTCACATAGTTCTTGCGTGACTCTGCTTTGAGATTCTTTTTCCTCTTCCTGACTTCCTGTTTTCTTCAGCTCCTCACTTACTCCATTGAACTGGTATAAACAATGGCCATTCGATAGGAAAACAGTCCTACACACTTTTTAAAGGGGGGGGGCATTATTGATATTAAATTATTAAAAAGAAACTTTGGAATAAACTTGTCAGCCAGGCTGCAGTGGTGCATGCTTTCTTTGTTGTTCTTTTCTTTTCTTTTTTTTGTTTTGTTTTGTTTTGAGATAGGGTTTCTTTGTGTAGCCTAATCCCAGCTCTCAGGAGGCAGAGGCAAGAGGCTTTCTGTCAGTTCGAGGCCAGACTGATCTACAGAACAAGTTCCAGAACAACCAGAGCTATACATATTGAAGAATGTTTCCCTCTATGTATTTTTTTTCTTTTCTCTTTTAAAGCTTTATTCCATAACATATTTTTAATTTTTTGGAGAAAAAGAGAAAGGAAAAGAATAAAAATCCACCCAGACTTTATGCATGATTATAGTTGTGTAGACAGATAGCAATAGAAGCTGAAGCAAAATGTAATGTCATATGGGTGGTGAATCCCATCATCTACAAGTGGAGGAAAACATGGTCCTTACTGGGTCGAAATATTATACTTGATGTTCACAAAAACCGGAGCACCCCTTGAAATAATCTAATTACTCCTGTTCAGGTACTCAATCTGCTAAGAAAACCAATTCAGACCAACCATCTCCCACCTGTAAGAAATTTTTGAATTGCATTCCTAATTAATCATTGTGGAAACTAAGCTTACTACTTGGTGAGGTTTCTATTTCATTCATGGCAAAAAAAAAAAAAAAAAAAATCTAATGGGAGAAGATTGCTCATAGGCCGTCAAATTCCCCTACAATACTATCTTCTTCTAGATCTAACATGAAGAAATGTTACTGTCTTGGTTACTTTTCTATTGCTGTGAAGGGACACCATGACTAAGGCAACTTATAGAAGAAAAGCAGTTATTTGGGGGCTGGCTTACAGTTTCAGAGGCTGAGTCCATTTCCATCATGGCAGGAAGTATGGTGGTGTGCAGTCAGACATGGTGCTGGAGCAGTGGCTGAGGGCTTCCATCTTAGCAGCAGGTTAGAAGCAGAGAAAGAAGCAAGGCCTGGTCTGGACTTTTGAAACTTTAAAACCTACTGCTACTGACACATCTCATTCAGCAACGCCACCCTTCCTAACCCTTCCTACGCAGCCCAACAACCAGTGACCGAGCATTCAAATATATGAGCCTATGAAGGCCCTTCTCGTTGAAACCACCATGGTTACGTTTGGAAAAGCCAATCCTTCACATACCTAACAGTAACTCTCATCTCCATGTGCACACCTCAGTGGACCCCTTTTCATTTCCCAAACATCCTTTTCCAGCGCGTGCCTCTCCCCTTCTCTGCTCTGTCACCCTTCTGCAAACTTAGCACCATGCCTCACACCCCCATTCATGAGCAATGTCCTATGAGCCTTCTTCTCCCATTCAGCAGGCCCTTACTCCCTCTCCATACTTATGATGTTCCATTTAAAGGAATGCTTTCGTGAACGTTGAATTGTTTGATCCATAGTGTACATTTTATCATCCAGTCGTCTTATTTTTCTTACCTGAAATTTAAGGCAGAGGTGCTCTGAAGCTGCATGTTATATACATGCCAGCATGTGCCCCCCCCCCCTCTGGAAATAATTTCATCTCAGGATAATAGTACAAAGAGTGCCCATGTGTTCTTTACCCATAGTGACAATTATTAGATCCTTCTCCACTTGCTTTATGACATGAGCCCCACCCCCTCTCTGCTAGACTGTCCCCTCTTTGGCCAGTGACAGTACTTCAAGCTGGCTCTGGCATCCTCTCCACAGGCCATGTTATGTGCATTCCTTCAGGTTGGGGGTAGTGCTCAGCAGTCTATGCTCACCTCCTATCTGACACCAGACCCAGCACCAGCTATGCCCCAAAGGCCCCTACTTCCTAACAATAGGGAACTGCATCCACACTTATAATCAATTGCCATTTTCAAAGCCTAGGAGGAGCTCAGATGTCCTGTGCCCCACCCTTCTTTATACGAATTATTCAAACTCAAGCAGCCATCTGGAACCAGAACCATGACAAAGCCACGCCTAACTTCCAAATATCTGTTCTTTCTATTTCCTAACCCTTTGTCCTTTGGGTCTTGTGGTGGCCCACAGAGACCTTACTCAGGGTCAGAGAATCTGAGCTTGCTTTACCCAGCAGGGCTGTGTAAGGAGATGATTTGGCCATGGGTGTGTCTACCAGGTGTTTGGAAGGGTCTATACTTGGCTGTATGGTGTGCTTTGATCTTGCAAGGGGGAGGCCTTTTGCCTCTCCCCTTGGCATATTATAAAAGCCCTTTTGAATAAAGCTCTAGGTGGCTGGGTATTGATACAGGGCTCTCCTGAAGATATCCTGTATCTGTCTTTCTTATCATCTCTTTCTATCTTTCTGTCTAATATTTCCTCATTCCTCTCTCCTCCACCCAAGAACCCTTTGATAGGTGGGAGCAGGTTGGAGCTGGACTCCGGCAGACTCCCACAGGGTCTGTGTGGTTTTATTGTATTGATTTTAGCCCACCATTTTATCGCTCCAATATCCAGGTGCCCTCACTGGATATTCAACCCCCTCCGACATACTTTAAATGTGAGCTTCAAAACTGAGCTCAGATCTGTTTACAACTTCAAAAGAGATTTCTTGGGCTGAGTTATAAATCTTTGAATAATGAGGTTTTTAATGAAACCAGGCCCAACACATCGTTAACTGTGGAGAGAAAATGGCGTTCTTATAATCACTATTTTTTGGAGCTTAATGGAAAAATACAGAATATTGAAAATGTTTTCTTATTATTACTTAATTTGTCAAAACCACATCATTTATGCCACATTTTAAATGAGGTGGAATAGTTTTTAAAGATGCAACAGAGATCATTATAAAAGCCCTGGGAAGCCAACTATGAGGGAGGGGAAAAAAAAAAAGCATTACTAAGCTCAATGTGCATCCGGGCGCCTGCAGCACGCATCAGCTTACCTCCTTGCCAACAGTCCACAGGGGGACATAATGTGCACGTTAAAATGGGCTGGAGATAGGTATGTTGACAGCTTTGCCTCGGTAACATCCATTCATCCCCAGGCACCATCTGTTACATCTTCAGTCTTTTTGTGAGTATCAGCAACAGGGGTAATTAAGCAAATGAGCAGCTAATATTGAAGTTTTCAGAAAGGAGAAAGAGTTTGCAAAGGCATGACAGTGGGGTGTCATTGTAGGAGCAGAGCCTGAACACCTGGAGGCTCCTGCAGGGAAAGGCAGAGTGGCCAATGGGGGTGGAGCATGGGTGGAGCCATAAGGCCCAGAGCATCATGGTAGTTGTAGTAGCAGGAGCTCTTGAGAACAAAGGGAAATGCTTCTGACTTCTTTATTAAAGGGAAGCAGGAATGTACTCTGGAAAGACAAAAGACCAGCTTACTACTTTGGTGGCACATAACAGTCAGTGTCTTAAATTAGGTCTTCTAAACCCTAACTTAAAAAAAAAAAAAAAAGCAAGTTGGGGAGGAAAGGGTTTATTTAGCTAACACTTCCATACTGCTGATTATTATTGATAGAAGTCAGGACAGGAACTGAAGCAGGGCAGGAACCTGGAGGCAGGAGCTGATGCAGAGGCCATGGAGGGGAGCTGCTTACTGGCTTGCTTGCACTGGCTTGT